TTCTACTATTGGATTTGAAATGACGATTACTTCTCTGTGCTGATGTGGTATGGCAACATGAACTGATGTACTTATGTACAAAGTTCTACGTTGCATCTGATTGACTGACTGACTGACTGATAGAAAGTCGACGTAACGACCGTGAACAGTGGTGGGTGGCGAAAGCAAAGGCGATCGAAAAGGCAGCGGCGATCGGCAACAGTAGACAACTTTTCCGACTTCTCAAGGAAACCGGTATTAGGAATCCTACTGTGAGTGAGACTATCTCGGAAAAGGATGGTCTTATTATCTATTCTCAATCCAGGAGATTGGACCGACGGGCAGAACACTTTAGGGAACAGTTCAACTGGTCTTCAGCCACACTTCGGTTGCCCACGATCACCAGTCATCCTGAATGGCAAGTCGACGTAATGACGTAATGACGTTGAGAAAGCGTTGGGAAATCTGAAAGGAGGACGAGCTGCAGGTCCTGCTAGACTGACCCCTGAGATATTTAAGGATAGTGGTCCAGTTTTAGCAGCTAGGTTGACTGAGATCTTAGGTAGAATTTGGGAACTGGACGCAATCCCATCCGACTGGTCTCAATCCTTGATTGTCCCAATCTATAAGAAAGGACAAAAGTCTTCCTGTGACAATCACAGGGGAATAAGTCTAACTAATATAGTATCTAAAATATTGGTCTCAATAATACTTCGACGCTTAACGAAAGCTCGTGAAGAGCAGACTCGAGAAAACCAGGCTGGTTTTCGACCTGGACGTGGCTGTATAGACCACGTCTTCACACTCAGACAGGTCCTGGAACACAGACACACATTTAGGCGTCCTACAATAGTTGTTTTCCTAGACCTTAAGGCGGCATTTGACTCTGTCGATCGTAAGGTTCTGTGGCAGTGTCTGTCATTGAAAGGCGTACCAAAGAAGTACATTAACCTTATACAAGCTCTTTACTCGAACACCATCGGTCGAGTGAGGGCTTATGGCGAACTGTCACCGGAATTCTCTACATCAAGTGGTGTCCGTCAGGGATGTCCACTTTCTCCATTCTTGTTTAATTTTATCATAGACATGCTCCTAGAAATAACCTTATCCTCGTCTGAATTTTCAGGAGTACACCTTCTACCAGGTGGCTCGCTTATTGACTTAGAATATGCCGATGACATTGTCCTACTTGGTGAAGATGCTGACAAAATGCAGAGTCTTCTGACTACCCTAAGCAACAATGCAAGCATGTTCGGGATGCGGTTTTCCCCCTCGAAATGCAAAATGTTGCTTCAAGACTGGGTTGCATCGGCACCTGAACTAGTGATAGGGAGTGAAGTAGTCGAGCGTGTAGACCGCTTCACTTATCTGGGGAGTCGCATCAGTGCCGATGGCCTGGTGACTGACTGAAATCTCAGCACGGATAAAGAAGGCTCGATTGGCTTTTGCCAACCTGCGTCACTTATGGCGTAGGCGTGATATCCGTTCTCTAATCAAAGGACGAGTGTACTGTGCAGCAGTTCGCTCCGTTCTCCTATATGGCTGTGAAACATGGCCAGTGAGAGTAGAAGATATTCGTAGGTTACTGGTTTTCGATCATAGGTGTCTTCGAAGCATTGCTCGTATACCGTCGGACAACCGAGTGAGCAATGCTGTCGTTAGGAAACGAGTACTAGGTAACGATGGCAGATCAATAGATGAAGTGGTGAAACTTCATCAGTTGAGGTGGTTGGGACACGTGCTGCGTATGCCTAACCACCGGCTGCCTCGACGGACTTTGTTTTGTAGTGTAGGAGTAGGTTGGAAGAAAGTTAGGGGCGGCCAAACCAAAACATGGCAGAAATCCATGAAGTCATCGACTAGTGGACTGAGCCATGTCGGTAATTGTCGACTACCTGGTTGGGGTCCGCGAGATGATAATAATCGATGGCTAGAGACCTTGAATGACATGGCTCAAAATTGTTCGCAATGGCGCCGGTGCATTTATTCTCTGTGTTCTCTCAAATCCTAATCTTATGGATTCTTCAACACCTCTAGTTTCGACTCACTAAACTTTTCTCACTGAATCATACTTCTTGAATAGTATCTTCTAATCCTAACCTCTCCGATTACTTCTAATTCCCTTACTACCTCTTCTACTATTGGATTTGAAATGACGATTACTTCTCTGTGCTGATGTGGTATGGCAACATGAACTGATGTACTTATGTACAAAGTTCTACGTTGCATCTGATTGACTGACTGACTGACTGATAGAAAGTCGACGTAACGACCGTGAACAGTGGTGGGTGGCGAAAGCAAAGGCGATCGAAAAGGCAGCGGCGATCGGCAACAGTAGACAACTTTTCCGACTTCTCAAGGAAACCGGTATTAGGAATCCTACTGTGAGTGAGACTATCTCGGAAAAGGATGGTCTTATTATCTATTCTCAATCCAGGAGATTGGACCGACGGGCAGAACACTTTAGGGAACAGTTCAACTGGTCTTCAGCCACACTTCGGTTGCCCACGATCACCAGTCATCCTGAATGGCAAGTCGACGTAATGACGTAATGACGTTGAGAAAGCGTTGGGAAATCTGAAAGGAGGACGAGCTGCAGGTCCTGATAGACTGACCCCTGAGATATTTAAGGATAGTGGTCCAGTTTTAGCAGCTAGGTTGACTGAGATCTTAGGTAGAATTTGGGAACTGGACGCAATCCCATCCGACTGGTCTCAATCCTTGATTGTCCCAATCTATAAGAAAGGACAAAAGTCTTCTTGTGACAATCACAGGGGAATAAGTCTAACTAATATAGTATCTAAAATATTGGCCTCAATAATACTTCGACGCTTAACGAAAGCTCGTGAAGAGCAGACTCGAGAAAACCAGGCTGGTTTTCGACCTGGACGTGGCTGTATAGACCACGTCTTCACACTCAGACAGGTCCTGGAACATAGACACACATTTAGGCGTCCTACAATAGTTGTTTTCCTAGACCTTAAGGCGGCATTTGACTCTGTCGATCGTAAGGTTCTGTGGCAGTGTCTGTCATTGAAAGGCGTACCAAAGAAGTACATTAACCTTATACAAGCTCTTTACTCGAACACCATCGGTCGAGTGAGGGCTTATGGCGAACTGTCACCGGAATTCTCTACATCAAGTGGTGTCCGTCAGGGATGTCCACTTTCTCCATTCTTGTTTAATTTTATCATAGACATGCTCCTAGAAATAACCTTATCCTCGTCTGAATTTTCAGGAGTACACCTTCTACCAGGTGGCTCGCTTATTGACTTAGAATATGCCGATGACATTGTCCTACTTGGTGAAGATGCTGACAAAATGCAGAGTCTTCTGACTACCCTAAGCAACAATGCAAGCATGTTCGGGATGCGGTTTTCCCCCTCGAAATGCAAAATGTTGCTTCAAGACTGGGTTGCATCGGCACCTGAACTAGTGATAGGGAGTGAAGTAGTCGAGCGTGTAGCCCTTCGAATCTTTATGAAGATGAAAAGACTATAGGAAATCTGAAGTGAGGGAGAGCAGCAGAACTTGATAGATTGAGCTCTGAAATTTTTAAAGATGATGGTCCAGTTTTAACAGTTAGACTGACTGATATATTGAGTAGAATCTGGGAACTGGACGCAATACCATCTGACTGGTCTCAGTCACTGAGTGTCCCAGTCTACAAGAAAGGACAAAAGTCCTCTTGTGACAATCACAGAGGAATAAGTCTAACTTAGTTTCTAATTTGTTAGCCTCGAATATACTTAGACGTCTAACCAGAGCTCGTGAAGAGCAGACTCGAGAAAACCAGTCTGGATTTCGACCTGGACGCGGTTGTATAGACATCTTCACAATACGAAAAATCCTGGAACACAGACACACATTTAGGCGTCCGACAATAGTTGTTTCCCTGGACCTAAAGGCGGCACTTGACTCAGTGGATCGTGAGGTTTTGTAGCAGTGTCTGTCATTGAAAGGTGTACCTAAGAAGTACACTAACCGATGACATAGTTCTACTTGCTGAAGACGCTGACAAAATGCAGTCTTCTGACTATTCAAGCAGCAATGCAAGCATATTGGGAATGCGGTTCTCCCCCTCGAAATGCAAAATGTTGCTTCAAGATTAGCTTGCGACTTTACTGGAACTAGTGATAGGGAGTGAAGTAGTCAAAAATGTGGACCGGTCAATGTATCTGGGGCGTCTCATCAGTGTTGATGGCCTGGTGACTGACGAAATCTCATCTCGGATACAGAAAGCTCGATAGACTTTCGCGAACCTGGGTCACCTATGGCGTAGGCGAGATATCCATTTGCTAAAAAAGGACGAGCAGCAGTTTGCGCCGTCCTACTTTATGGCTGTGAAACATGGCCAGTGAGAGTAGAAGATACTCTTCGCTTAATTGTCTTCGATCATAGGTTTCTCCAAAGCATTGCTCGTATACCGTCGGACAACCAACTGAGCAGTGCCGTTATTAGGAAACAGGTGCTAGGTAAGGATGGCAGACCAATTGATGAAGTGGTGAAACTTCATCAGTTGAGGTGGTTGGGACATGCGTTGCGTATACCCAACCACCGACTGCCTCGATGAGCTTTGTTTTGTGGTGTGGGAGTAGGTTGGAAAAAAGCTAGGGGCGGCCAAACTAAACCATGGCAGAAATCCATAAAGTCACTGACAAGTGGACTGAGTCATGCTGGCAGATGTAGGCTACCTGGTTGGCGTCCGAGAGACGAAAGTCAACAATGGTTAGAGACCTTGAACGACACGGCTCAAAATCGTTTGCAATGGCGCAAGTGCATCCGTTCGTTGAGCTCTCTCAAATCCCAATCTTCTGGATTCGTCAGCAGCTATACCTTTGTCTTTCTAACCTTATCTCACTGAATTATACTTCTTGAATAATATCTTCAAACCCTAGTCTTCCTTATTACCATTAATACCTCTACTGTCTTTACCACTATGGGATTTGATTTGACATTCGCGTCTCTGTGCTAATGTGGTATGGCAACCTGAGCTTATATACCTACGTACGAAGTTCTATGTTGCCACTGACTGACTGAATCCAGTCGACTTAATTCGAATCACCTGCAGGGAATGTTCTACCTATTATTAGTGTTCGCAGAGCGTCTACAGACGATCAGAATCAGTAAACTGAAAAAAAGAAATAGGCAAAAATATATATCCTCCTGGCGATAAGTCATTATTATCAGCGTAAGAACTGCTACAAATGCCTGGATTTACTTAGGTCAGTACAAAACAAAATCAAGAAGTAACAAGAGTCAAAATCAGAAAATAATAGTTATGATAGTGAGAAAGAGAATATTGAGAATCGAGGTGTGATGAAGTACTTAAACTTAGGATAAGGAGTGAACGCATTCTCACCACTGTGACCAATTTTGAAACATGTCATCCAGCGTCTACAATGACTAAGTGAGGCCGATGCGCGAACTTCAACCAAGCCAGAAATGCATTACTTCATGAAACACCGTTCTGGCTTCACCAATACAGTCCCACTGGTAACTTAGTACTAACCCTCCATAATATGCTCGACATCAACCTCATTTGACAGTTGGGTGTTAATATCAGCTGGTTGGTAGTCGTCAACATGTTACAAAAAAAATCTTAATTGTAAACAAAACGACTAATTATAAACGGGATTGGTAGCAGCCAAACCTAAGTCGCCTCAAACTGCACGTCTCGACCGTATTTCGTGGCTGAAACCTGTCAGATACATATGAAAACAGGCTATTTGGTTCCTCCAACATACAGCCTAATGCTTAACGGATGGCTCTATATAAGTATTTAAAGTTAAAAGACAATGCGCATGGTATATCCCCTTTCACCAACTTTCCGTTTTTTACAACTAAGAATCCATCCACCTGCGTTGTGGTGTAGCAACTTTAACTGATATATGTACGCACCGAGTTGTAGCTCAATGACTAACCGACCAAGAATTTATGGAAAATGAGATATCCTTGAAAATCTTGTTACAAGTGATATGAAAAATAAAACCATGCAGTGAAAATTCATCCTGTTGAGAGAATTTTGACTTCTCTAAATGGGATCTACGGGTACACATACACAAGATCAAACCGCGATGTGCTGACAGTGTCAAAGTCTACTCGATCATCGCAATGTAGGACCGAAGTTTAACAAAATTGACTGACACGATTTTTTACTCAATTTTTTCCCAATGAAACAATACAAATAGGAATTACCAAGAGAGCTATTATAAAGCCTCCAACACACTTATTTGTAACACAAATGAACGCAAGGATTAGATGCTGGGAAACCACAGCGATGATGCAAGCTTCAAGTGCAACTGAGATAACTGGACGTCCGTTGATTGCCGAAACTGGATGAGTATAAATATTAATTACCAACCAGACTACAAATTACATGGTGCTTGGTAGACCCATAGTACACGAGTATATCCTGCTACTTACTGGTCAGAACAGATTAGGTAATCTCACATCGTGAGCTAGTTTTAGTAATATGTTTATCAGGCATTGCCATAATATTAATAAGAACCAAATTATAAATGCCAAAACTTTATATCTTTACACTATTTGTTCAGCAATATACCATCGAACTTAGTTTGGAACCACTTCATTGCTTCCTCCTTTTGAACGTGATGACTATTTCCAACTCGGCTTTGACAACGACGCCTAATGAAGAAATATCAACTTTCCAAGTGAACTAACCGGTATCTAACGCGCATCCCCGGTCTGCCTAAAATGACATAAAAATTCATTCCATAGATTCCAATCGAAGGATCGTATTTTATTCCCAGATCAATATGTTCCGTCAGCCCAAAGCCGAAATTCCCAGTTTTGCTGAAGCATGATTTTGGGAGCTCGTATTCCTTCACCTTTAGTCCCTTTTCCAAAATCTCTGAAGAAATCAAGAATTAAATTGCCGTACCTTCCGCTTTAGGGCCCCGCACAGTACAGTGGACAGCAATCTTTTCATTACGTCTGATTGAGAAAGACCTTATAGTCTTGTGTGCTTTACTGAAAACGGGTTGTTGACCTGTTAACTGCTCCAAAACCTTGGCTGCTCGAGTTAGCCTGTCACCACTTTCCCCTACACAAATATCCAGGCAGAGTTTCTGGATTTTAATTTCTCTCATCGGGTTATTTGTTTTCTCCTTCACTTCTTTCTTGACGACCATCTTACACAGAAGAACAAATAATCACGCGTGCGTCTCTGCGCGCCAAAAGTGAAATAACTGCTCGTTGAGCTATTATAGCACTCTAACAAAAAATATTTGTAAAAGTTACCAGAATATTAGTGCACCCAGATAGGTGTTTCCTCCGAGTTTCGACGGAGTTAGAAAAAATATCAGAGGTTATGAGTTGGTTCAGGCTAATCATCTCTCATTTGATCCAACATTCTGTAGAATATATAGAATGTAGGACCTGCAACCACTTATTGGGAGATAAAGCGCTACTTATTTATTGCTTGATGGGATACTCCGAAGTCAGCCAACATAAATTCGGTATTAGATTCATCATAGTATAGCTGTGAGATCCCTAGAATCCATTTAGTCGAAGTTTTATACACTTTCCAAAAACTTCACTAATTTGAACTCCATTATTGAATGCATTACTCACATATCAACAAACTAAATACTGCTAAAATTACTAGGAACTTTGTAGTTTACTAATGACTTTAGGAACCAATGTCCCAGTACAAAACAGATGTTTTCAATTATCAACTGATAAAAACCTCTACCCTAATGGCCGTTTGTATGAACGAATAACCAAGCACCATTCGCTATGCATATATGTGCTTTGGTGATCAATATAACCAACAGTCCACCTCAAGATATTTACTAACTTTTGAAAAATGTTAGATGATTCTACAAATTTCAAGGAATTTATTGGAACTTCTGGACCATTTCCTTCATTTCATATCACTTAACAAATCTTTTTGTCACCCGCGAAGCCGTATGTTCAATCGGTACTATAACAGTGGTGAGCGACAACTACGAACACACAACAAATTCGGTGAGTCTGTTCTTTTTCCATACCATTTTCTTACTATTTTAACTGTTGTTTAATATATATCGATATTTTCTTATATATATTATAACTACAACAGCGTTTTAAAATGGTTGATAGACCTAAAAATGACGAAAACTTAGCAGATTCCCACATCACGAAGTAGCGGCAATTAGTCATCAATGCCCTGGAGTTTTTACCTGGGCACCATATTGCGTGCCGAATCACAGGGGTATTTCGTTCGCGTGATGACATTTTCCAAACTTTACTCGAGAAATTTCCCCAGCTAACTAGACCAGTCGAGGAGAACCTATCGGTTACTCACCATGTGGTACACCACATCGCCACCCGTGGACCACCAGTCATTGCGCGACCTCGCCGAGTGGCACCGGAGAAATTAGCTTTCGCTAAACGTGAGTTTGACAATTTACTAGCTACAGGTATTATTCGTCCTTCTCACAGCTCTTGGGCCTGACCACTCCACATAGTTCACAAAAAGGATGGGATAAGTTGGTGATCATGTGGCGACTACCGAGCATTAAACGTAGTAACGCGTTTCGATAGCCATCCCGTCCCCCACACACACACATCACGGCATCTCTTAAGGGCACGACTATCTATTCTAAGATTGATCTGGTACGAGCATATCAACGGATCACAGTCGCTCTTGAAGATATTTAGGAAAATGCTATCACGACCCCTTCCGGTCTTTTTGAGTTCCTACGAATGCCATTTTGATTACGGAATGCCGCCCAAACTTACCGAAGTTTTATCGATAGCTTAGTACGGAACTTCGATTTTGTTCACGTCTATATTGATGATCTGCTAATCGTATCATCAAACGTAGATGAACATTATCAACATCTTAGGCTCTTATTCCAACGCCTTTCGGATAATGGGATAGTAGTTAACCCAGACAAGCGTGAAGGAAGGAAGAAATAAAATTCGTAGGTCACATCATTAAGCATGAGGGTATTCTATAACTCTACTGGTTCGCCCCGACATAGTGTACCTTCTGCTCATTGTCGTCTAGTATCGATGCCCTACTTGGATTGTGCCATTCAGGCATTGCAGCCATATTACGTCTCATCGCAGAACGATACGTCTGGCCTTCCGTGAGTAAAGACGTCCGTATGTGGTAAAGCAATGCTTACAATGTCAACGATCAAAAGTGAACGTAACCGCCCCTATCGGCACATTTGCTACGCCTGATGCTCTCTTCAATCATGTTCACACTGACATTGTAGGACCATCGACACCATCGCATGGGTATGATCACATACTCACGTGCATCGATTGTTTCACAAGATGGCCGGAATCTATTTACACAACTTCTGTTACTGCGGACACAGTTGCTCACCGCTTAGATGGATAGCGCATTACGGTTGTCGTTCGACTTTCACAACTGGCCGAGGAAAACAGTTCGAGTCGGAACTTTTCTCCTCACTAACCCGTCTGCGTGGTATAGAGCGCATACAGACTACTGCCTGCCATCCATCTTCGAATGGTTTGGTCGAACGGTTTCATCGCCAACTTAAAAGTGCTCTTCAAGCACACGAAAACGACAATTGGTAAGAAACCTTGCCACTCGTCCTCTTAGGTATCAGAACGAGTTTAAAGGCAGATATTCAATGTTCCGCCGCACGGCACGACATCGCGTCTGTCTAGCGAATTTTCACACCACCGAGCAGTGGTAACCTAAATAAATCAAACTACGTACAACGATTGACTGAATTCATGCGAACACTGCCTACGGTGTCAACTCGGGTATAACATCGACAGGTCACTCTCCCTCGATATTTATCTACCTGTTCTCACGCTTTCATATGAGTTGATTCGGTACACAAACCTTTGCAACAACCTAACGATGGACCTATTCACGTGATTTCTCGTCATGAAAAGACGTTCAAGGTTGCTCGACATAGCCGCGTCAAGGTAGTTAGCATTAATCGTCTCAAGCCAGCACATGCCGATGACACTGCCCTACTTGGTAATTCGAGACCCAGTGCTAGACCTATTAAACCTACTAGCGGGATCCTTAAAGCTACTTCGGGTCTCACGCTAGACAAATCAGAGACCTCATTCTCACGTCCCAGTCAACAGCACGTGTCATCTGCACTATCTACGGATGAGACTCCGGTCTCACCTCCAGATCGGCAGACCACTCCGCCCTTGACTTAGGATGAGATTGACGGCTCACGAGGTACGCACGAGACTACGGCCTCGCGCTCCGGTCGCCGCGTGCACCTACCTTTACGTTTTCTCGAATAACCACCCACGCAACAACGGACAAGTGATAGTACCCTATCCTCGTACTTCATGTATGCTACACTTCTTGTTTTCTTTCATTTTGTATCTTGAGCCCATGTCTACGACCATCACCCTGTTGTTACTCTTGACTTCAGTCAATCTTGGTGAAAGCTGGCCTGAACACCCACGCTCTTGTCAATGCACTCAGTCGATGTTTTGATTTTGAACATGTTTGTGTATGTACGGTTTCGAACTTGGTAGAAATGGTCGTTTCTGTCTCCTTCGCTCAGCCTGGTTCCGTCCTACGTCTGCAGCTTTTTCTGCTATGGACCCCCACGAACACGATCTTCAGACTCTGGACACGAGCCACGCTGGTATGGCATGCCAACCCAAGCACTAAACTTGGCACGCTACTATTAGTTCAGTTCAACGTAAAAGAATCTCGTTGACAATTCGAGCTTCATTGGTCGCTTCATGTTCGTCAACCCTTCCGACTTACGATCGCCTGCTAGCCAACCAGGCCCCCTCCCTCACGAAACTGCTACGTATCGAAAGTGTAAAGCCTTTCTGGTGAATAACCAAGTAGGTGAAAGACCTGTAGTGGCAAACGTTCACGAAGAAAACACAAAGGCTGAAATACAAACATTTATTATTGTACTTAATTCTGACAATAATTGTTATATTGTACACCTCTTGTTTATCTGTACTAAATACTGTCTCTCGCGCGCCAAGCCTGTCTTTGCCTTTCGGCCTTCTCTCTTCGCTCGTTGTTAGCCGCTCGTGTACCCTAGTCTCATGATTATTTCGATATCACGAGGCTTGCATTAAATATACTTCTTCCTCAAGAATCGCTTTTCATCTGATTACTAGAGTAACGGAATTAACATTTGTTATCTCGCGAAGCCTTCCCAACAGATTTTCGAACGAATGATTAAAAAGATCAGATCGTTTCTCGCATGCAAAAGTTTAAAATGCAAGGTGATCTTATACTCGTATTCTACAACTCGAACAACAAATCGGTCATTAACATTTTTTAACATTTTGCCACCTCCGAGGTTGATTACCCTTCTACCCTTCTACCCTTCTAGAATGATTCAATAATTTCTACTGCGCGCTCTTCGGAATCAACGTGACCTCGTTGACCTCTCACCATTCATAAGAAACAATCCAGTTTTGAAAACCAGATTAAGTTAGTTGATCGTTCCCGAAGATATAAAATTTTTCTCCATTAATTGTTTGACATTCTGAGTACTAATTCCGATAAACGGAATCATTCCAAGTCAGAACCACTGTATGGACCAACTGCTCACTTCCTAGTTACCCAAGAGCAGAAAAGTGTGGTAGTTCACGGCGTGCTCGAACTGGTTGGTGGTAGCTTGGATGAAGCTCACTCGCAGGACACGCGACAGTAGTGTACGCTATCAGGTAGCCTGAGCCTTCACACCACTTTGGCATTCTGCATTTCCCGGCTGCCTACGCCTTATCTAGCCTTCTTGATCTAGTTGACCGGACCTGGGACAACGGAATGGAGTAGCCTATCGTGTCACTGTTTCATTGCTTTCGTTCCGTTTAACAAGTGAGGTGAACTAGTAACAGCATTCAAGCCTATAATTTGACGAGCATACCACTAAGGCCCAGTAAGATAAACTGACTGCTGCAATACTGCAGCTGCCACTCCTTGGGTTTCATCAAATACCCTTAGCTGAAGAATTCAACATCCCAATCTCTAAATTATGTAATCAGGTTACGACCACCACCAGTTTCTTCCAAGGATGACTTGATGCAGCTAATTCAACTTCTGGGCTCACTGAACATGTATGCAGCGCTACTAGATGAACTGAGGATGTTAAATCCTCAAACCTGGACTACTTGCTAACAAATGATTAGCTCCGATTTGAGGATGTTCACGTCCATACACCAATAGGAAGTAGTGATCATGGCATAGTCTTTTTCAGTATGGTCATAAATAAAACGCTCAGGCAAGATCTGTGCTACACTAGAGCGAATTAATCGTTCAGGAGAGATAACCTTCTACATTTCGCATGACCACGGGAATGGAAGAGGCTGACAGTAGATGATAACTGGCAAACAGAGAGACATCATCCAGAATGCTGTCCTAATCAATGTACCCAGGCACACCGCACACCCGGAAACAGAAGAATGAGGGTTAGGCGTGGCGCTGAACTACAAGCAAAAATGAGAGGCTGGTACAAGTGGAAGGTCGCCTTGAAGGATTCCAACCGTCGTTCTTACTGGGAATGCAGAAACAGAAGCAATACAAAAGTTCACAGCGATAGGAGATGCTTTCAGATGAAGCCAGCTGACCGAATACAGGCAAACCCTAAGCATATATTTCGGTTTATGACAAAAAGAAAACCCTAGAATTAGGGTTTGTGTTGTCTCAGAAGTTCGAATGGGGAAGGTCTCACGAACTTTGAAATGGCTGATATGTACAACTCCAACTACACTGATCAATGAAACCAGGCATCCATCTGTTCAGAGGACTACGCAAACTCATTACCAGCTTACGGCTTGGGGAAAATCCATATTACTACTGACTTAGTACTAAGGAAACTAAAATCCTTACACCAAGGAAAGTCATCAGGCTGTGACACACATTATCGCGCATACTGCTAATTGAGAGGGTTGCAGAGATGCACTTCACTAACCTACTCCTATCTTGGCCCAGAAACTACCTTGAGAATAGAAGGTTTCGTACCAAGGTAAATAGAGTGTACGCGAGTTAGAGAGTCTCAACATCGGGAGTTTCATAGGAGCTCATCTCAGGTCCACTTCCCTTCATGATATTCACTAACGACCTGTTAGATACAGTTAGCTCGCTGACATCGATCTACACAGACGGTACAAAGATCTGGAGGTCCATCAGCAGCGAAGAGGATTCGACTGAGCTTCAAAATGACCTTACATCCATTGGGGAATGGGCAGGGAAAAACGGCTTAAGTTTGAACCAGCTGGAATATCATGTCATATACATTCTGCCCCACATGAAGCAAACGATTTACACCCTCAAGCGAAGTCCGCTCCCTAATGTCTCTTCAAAGCGCCATCTCGATTTAATAACCATTGGAAGCCTCCACACTAGCCCCAACTATGTAGGGGACCCAGCCAAGGCAAATGCAACTCTTCAATATATGCGAAGAGAACTTGGTGCTAACACCACTGATTTATTCTTAACGCTGTTAAAGACATATGCACACCCACACCTTGAGTTTCATAAAGTCGTCGCATCCCCTCTTTTTAAAAGAGACATTAATCACTTGGATCGAGTGGAGAGACGGGCAACGCAATGGGTGATAGGGTTGAAAAATAAAGCTAACGAATACACACTTCAGCAATTGAGTTTATTCCCCTTTGAGTTACAGGAGTATCAGAAGTGATCTGATTATGGTGTACAACATATTAAACAGGCCAAACCATCCCAACGTGATCATCACCACCACTTCCCTCGAGGCAATCCTCGAAAAATTGCGCACCATAGAGCGAATACTCGGGTTCTTGAACACTTTTTCTCAATAATAGTTGTTGCAGCTTGGAATGCTCTTCCAGACGAGGTGACCACAGCCTCTTCAGTGGTCAGCTTTAAGAAGAGACTTAATAAACACGAACTCATCTACGGGTTATCGTCTCTCTCGTGGACCATCTGTGCCTGATTCATGTGTGGAGACATACTAGTTGTCATTATTGCCATCACAACAGATCGCTACTATAGTCGCTTAATCTATCTCGCTTATTATCTTTGTTTACTCTCCGCTGCTTACTCTTCGGTTCGCTCGCACAATCTTCACTACCGATTAATAAACTTAATTATCCACTATTTACTGAGTCCTAAAATCTTACTCTTATTAGCATTAAAATTTCCTCATTATTATTCTCTACATCGCAACTTGCTGATCTCGCATCTGATAATTTAAAGGCTGCTGGTATCCAGAAACCCTACTGCCCTGAATCAAACGTCTTCATTAAAATCACAAGATATGCAAACTCACAAACAACTGTCAAGTGTGTAGACCCCTATCGACTGGACACTTCAAAACACTTGGAACCGCACCGAAAGAACAAGAATCAAACGAAAGAAATTAACTTGTTTATACCCGCTCGTAAAAAAGATATTGAATATTGAATAAATTCACAGTAGTCTTCCATATATGTAAGGTTATTGGCATTGGAACTCCATCTCTGAACAAGAAACATTAGCTCCCTAAGAGAGGCATTTCATGTAGAAAATAGACCATTGGAGTACTATTCGTTAAAAGAAGCAACATAGTTCATCCACCTCACAGTTTCCATTACTGAATACTGAATTTATTCGGTCTCAAGGTTATTGTTTGGCTGTGGACGTAACAGGTGAGTAACCTTTGAATTCGTGTCGTTTACAGCAAGATCCTGTTACTATCTTATTATAATATTACACCACTAATTAATCGTACTTGCCAGTCGTTTACCTTTTTTTTCACTAGTTAAGTGTGAAACTGACTGTGCGTTTATATAAATATAAGCAACATCATTGATTACGAATCGTCGACTGACTAGAATTAGTGCAATCGAGTGGCTTGACTACCATTCATTGGACATTACCGAATACCTGGAACGGTACCAAAAAACAAGAAGCGAGCGCCAAGAAAGAAACTATCGGATCTTAACACACGCTTGCTGACCATACAGTCAAATACTAGATGAGTCGTAGCTACATAGTTTCCTGGCTGCTTATAGCATTCATCGCTACCGTATCATGTGTTCTAACATATGTGTTCTCTAGATATCAACCTGAACCTTACATGGATGAAATTTTCCATGTGCGTCAAACATTAAAATATATCCAAGGAGACTGGAAGTCTTGGGACAACAAAATCACCACTCCTCCTGGTCTTTACGTGGTTTATGTATTTGCTTACAAAGTTTTGGATTTATTGGGTGCACTTCCACATGAGATTATTACGATGCACTTTAGGTTCTCAAGCGTCATGTTCAGCATATTTAATCATATGATTATCCTAAGGCTTGCTAAAATAATGAAATGTAACTCACCTAATATTCTTGCCATAAATATCGCATCGGAACCAATATTTCTCTTTTTCTCTGCCTTCTACTATACTGATCATTGCTCAATTTTGTTCGTCATGGCGTCAGTTTACTTTAGTTTATTGCATCGAGATTGGTTAAGTTCTCTGTCTGCATCATATGCAGTCTTCACACGCCAATCCAATATTATATGGGTTCCTCTGCTAATGTGCATCCATGCATCCGGGAGCCTGTCGCAAAATCTGTTTGGACATGATCGGTGTTCCCCACTCATTTGGATCCAAAGATCATTGTACGAAGTCGTTTCACATCCACTTTCTGTCATACTTATTATACTTAAGATTATCTTTAAGTTATGTCTACCCTTTTTCTTAGTTTTGATTTCTTTCGTATTTTTTGTTATTATAAATAATGGCATTGTTTTAGGTGATAGAGGAGCACATACTGCGGTTTTAAACATCCCTCAATTTTTCTATTTCGTCACTTTTTGTGCCTTTTCTACTCCCGTTCAGTTTGTGGAGTTCTTAGTAAATGGTGTGAAATCACTCAGCAACTTACTTGTTAATCGTAATTGGAGGGTTTTGAATTTATTTCTATTTCTCACACTGCTTTTCATTTCATTTATATCAGTATCTTTGAAGTACTGTCTTTTCATCCACCCTTATTTGATTTCTGATAATAGGCATTATACTTTTTATATCTGGCGAAAAATCATATATAGAAGTGCTTCCATGTACTATGGTTTGTCTGTTGTTTACTTAGTTACAACAGCATACTTTGTGAACACCTTATTCTTTTCTTATCGAAACATACCATTCGGTCCTTTTATAGAACGCTTAGTTTTCTTATTTTGCACTTTCATTATTGTGATTGCTTCTGGGTTACTTGAATTGCGATATTTCTTGATCCCGTATATATTATGGCGCATTTTCTCGTTTTCACATACTCATTATAAGTACTTGCTCTGCGAAGTTCTATGGAATTTATCTATTGTGTTCATTACAGCATACCTCTATATCTTCAAGCCGTTTGAATGGTCAAGTAAACCTGGGGTGTATCAAAGGTTTATGTGGTAACTTCTTTTACCGACTCGTAAATCGTACTTCATTCGTATCTAAATGCCCCTTTTACTATCATTCACTAACCTACACCCACGTTCTTTTCTTTTTTACCTTACGTTCTCTTCTCTATATTTTCAGTTTCTTATATTATGTGGAGCATATATATTTTGATGCCTCTTTGAATCAATATTTTATTTCAAATAAATAAATAACTGCAAACTATTTATTGGAAGTATCGAACAGTCTTAATGCGAGTTGTTAAAATATCCGTCAATATATGTACAATATTGTTTGTTCGATAAATGTATTTTTGAACTTTGAAATTGGTTTCTCATGAAGAATATTAGTTATTATCAATTAGCACCAGTCGTGTAAGTAAATTAATGGTAAGTCCAATGCAATACAGTTACAACGTAGAACTTCTTACGTACATACATCAGTTCAATATGCCATACCACATTAGCACAGAGACTCAATTGTTGATTCAAATCCCATAGTGGTAGATGTAGTAAACATATAAGTAGTAATCAGAAAGACTAGCGTTCGAAGAAATTATTCAAGAAGTATGATCTAGTGAAAAATATTTAAAGAGATAAAACAAGTTGTGAGAAGAGACAAAGAATGGATACACCTGCACCATTGCAAACGATTTTAAGCAATATGATTCACAGTCTCTAACCATCGATTACTATTGTCTCCCGGACCCCAACCGGAGGGTCTACACCTACCAACATGTCTCAGTCCACTTGTCAGTGACTTCATGGATTTTTGCCATGTTTTGGGGCTTGTAAAAGTTCTGTACTAAAATTGACATTTCAGGTCTTCCCCATACACTTTTATGATAATTGTGTCAATAAATGACCTATGATAACCTAATCTCCAATGAGGAAAAACAGTAAGAAGACTGAATTTATTCACAGTCTTATTCTCGAAGTATGTATCGAATAAACTCGACTTCACATTCAAAATATATTAGCGTTGGCACTATTTACATTTGTATAGTTCTCTTTCATCAACTCCTACTGTGGAGATGTTTCAACAGTTCATTTAAAATTAGCTTTTCTTTTTTAAGACCTATTCTGATATGATCTTTTAAGTTAAACGAATCTAAACAAATTACCCAAATTTGTTAATTCAAGCTTCTTCTAAAAATCTAGATATTTTTAACGATAAATGTTGTCTGAAAAATAGTCTGTTCGACTTATTATTATTTCAAGACATCATCCTGCCACACTCCATGTCAGGATAGTTCAAACAACCTTGCTAGTAAACAAAGGTGTTAGTTTTGATGAAATGCTAATCAGCTTTAGTCTCAAATAGTATTTTGATTTAGCCATTTACTCAAACAAATCCGACTCTTAATCAATCAACTAAAAGAGGATGCAGAAAAAATCCTGTATAAGACTGCATATGTATGTGCCCCACATACATGTAAATATTGTTCATTCCAAAGAGAAGCGTGAATCTTTTTTTCTTAAAAGACAAATATGATAAGTAGGACTCAATTCCTAACTAGAATTTCGCCTTATCTGCACCTGTCATCCGGAACACAAACTTTTTGTTATCATTTATGCGTATTGACATTTAGGCCGTGTGTCTCCAGTATTGAAAGTGTTACACAACTTTTCAAATAGGGCAACAGGCTTCCTTAGCTAGGACTTTAGAATCTCGCGCCACCCATGTGTGCTGCGTCTCGGAAACGCGCATACAGGATCCTAGTAAAATCATTAATCTGATTTCACCTTGTTAAAATAAAGAAGAAGCTCGATTCGCTGATGTTGTTGGCGCGCCTACAATTGAAGAGATCTGTATGGCCATCAAACGAATCAAGAGCGGCAAAGCAGCAGGACCAGACAGCATTCCAGCAGAGGCAACGAAAGCAGACGTGGAAGCAACTGCAAAAGTACTTCACATTCTCTTCAACAAGATTTGGGATGAGGAACAAGTACCATCAGACTGGAAAGAAGGATACCTGATCAAAATACCAAAGAAAGGCGATCTGAGCAAGTGTGAGAACTACAGAGGCATCACTCTTCTTTCAATACCAGGCAAAGTCTTCAACAGGGTATTGTTAAACAGAATGAAGGACTTCGTAGACGCCCAACTTCGAGATCAACAGGCTGGATTTCGTAAGGATCGATCGTGTACTGACCAAATTTCTACATTACGGATCATTTTGGAACAATCAATTGAATGGAACTCACCACTCTACATCAACTTCATCGACTACGAGAAAGCATTCGATAGCGTGAACAGGACAACACTATGGAGGCTTCTTCGACACCTCGGCGTTCCTGAGAAGATAGTCGACATCATACGGAATTCTTATGATGGATTAAACTGCAAAGTCGTGCACGGAGGTCAGCTGACAAACTCGTTTGAGGTAAAGAGCGGTGTCAGGGAATGTTGCTTACTCTCACCCTTTCTCTTTCTCCTGGTGATCGACTGGATTATGAAGACGTCAACATCTGGAGGGAATCACGGTGTTCAGTGGACAGCTGGACTTCGCAGATGACCTGGCTCTTCTATCTCACACGCAGCAACAAATGCAAGAGAAGACAACCAGTGTAGCAGCAGCCTCAGCAGCAGTAGGTCTCAACATACATAAATGGAAAAGTAAGATTCTACGATACAACACAACATGCGTCAACCAAATCACGCTTGATGGAGATTCTTTGGAAGACGTTGACATCTTTACATATCTTGGCAGCATCATCGACAACTAAGGTGGATCCGATGCAAATGTGAAGGCGCGGGTCGGCAAAGCAAGGGCTGCATTTCTACAGTTGAAAAATATCTGGAACTCCAAACAACTTTCAACCAAAATCAGGATTTTCAATACAAATATCAAGACAGTTCTACTGTATGGAGCGGAAACTTGGAGAACTACGAAAGCCATCATCCAGGGGATACAAGTGTTTATTAACAGCTGTCTACGCAAAATACTTCGGATTCTTTGGCCAGACACCATCAGTAACAACCTACTGTGGGAGAGAGCAAACCAGATTCCAGTGGAGAAGAAAATCGGGACGAAGTGCTGGAAGTAGATAGGACACACACTACGAAAAGCACCCAACTGCGTTGCAAGACAAGCCCTCACCTGGAATCCTAAAGGTCAAAGGAAGAGAGGAAGGCCCAGGAACACCGGGAAATAGAGAAAGATATGAGAAGAATGAACAAAAATTGGACGAAACTGGAAAGGGAAGCCCAGGACAGAGTTGGTTGGAGAAAACTGGTGGGCGGCCTATGCTCCATTGAGGGTAACAGGCGTAAGTAAGTAAGTAAGCAAGCTCGATTTACTCTTCGAGTGTCCGGTAGCCCTGATGCTGCTTCCCGGGGTCTCGTGGGCGTAGGTGTAGCATCGAGTTGTAGGGTAGAACAAGCTCTCCCACTGACTGCAGTTCAGACGAGGTAAAAGATAAGTTTTATATAAAGCTTTCGGACCTTCTCCGAAATGTTAGGCACTCTGTTATAGCATCAATGGCTGGTGACTTTAATGCTCAAGTGAGAAGGAAAGACACCTGGGTGAATCTTATGGTGTCGCAGCTAATAGAACAGACAATGGCGACCGTCTGTTGCAACTGTACTCAGATAACCGCCTATCTCTAGCAAACACCAAATTTGGGCATAAGGTAGGAAGTCTCGTGGCCCGGGGACCCCCAAAGCCCACCCAACTAGATCACATCGCTATAACCCATCGGTGGAGAGGTTCTATTGAAAACTAACGCTCATTTTTTACTTACTGATAATAAAGCTAAGAATATATTTCAGGAACAACTAGAAAGACAGTTAGGCGACCATTTAAGCGATTCCCATCCGGAGGCAGGTTGGAATGATATCGAAGGCAGCGGCGATCGGCAACAGTAGACAGTTGTTCCGACTTACCAAGGAAACGGATATTATGAATCCGAACGCGATTGAGACTATCTCGGAAAAGGATGTGACTATTATTCACTCTCAATCTAGTAGGTTGGATCGATGGGCAGAACACTTTAGGGAACAGTTCAACTGGTCTTCAGCCACACTTCGGTTGCCCACGATCACCAGTCATCCTGAATGGCAAGTCGACGTAAGCCCTTCGAATCTTTATGAAGATGAAAAGACTATAGAAAGTGAGGAAATCTGAAGTGAGGGAGAGCAGCAGAACCTGATAGATTGAACTCTGAAATTTTTTAAGTAGAATCTGGGAACTGGACGCAATACCATCTGACTGGTCTCAGTCACTGAGTGTCCCAGTCTACAAGAAAGGACAAAAGTCCTCTTGTGACAATCACAGAGGAATAAGTCTAACTTAGTTTCTAAATTGTTAGCCTCGAATATACTTAGACGTCTAACCAGAGCTCGTGAAGAGCAGACTCGAGAAAACCAGTCTGGATTTCGACCTGGACGCGGTTGTATAGACATCTTCACAATACGAAAAATCCTGGAACACAGACACACATTTAGGCGTCCGACAATAGTTGTTTCCCTGGACCTAAAGGCGGCATTTGACTCAGTGGATCGTGAGGTTTTGTAGCAGTGTCTGTCATTGAAAGGTGTACCAAAGAAGTACATTAACCTTATACAAGCTCTCTACTCGAACACTGGTCGAGTGAGGGCTTATGCCGAACTGTCATCTGAATTCTCTACATCAAGTGGTGTCCGTCAGGGATGTCCACTCTCTCCATTCTCGTTTCACTCTGTCGTAGATATGCTTCTAAGCATAACATTATCTTCGTCTGAATTTTCAGGAGTAGACCTTCTACCAGGAGATTCACTAGTTGACTAAGAATATGCCGATGACATAGTTCTACTTGCTGAAGACGCTGACAAAATGCAGAGTCTTCTGACCACCCTAAGCAACAATGCAAGTGTGTTCGGGATGCGGTTCTCCTCCTCGAAATGCAAAATGTTTCTTCAAGATTAGCTTGCGACTTTACCGGCACTAGTGATAGGGAGTGAAGTAGTCGAACGTGTAGATCGCTCCATGTATCTGGGGCGTCTCATCAGTGTTGATGGCCTGGTGACTGACGAAATTTCAGCACCGACACAGATGGCTCGATTGGCTTTTTCAAAATTGCGTCACTTATGGCGTAGGCGAGATATCCGTTTACCGACTAAATAACGAGTGAACTGAGCAGTAGTTAGCTCCGTCCTGCTTCATGGCTGTGAAACATGTTTTCGATCATAGGTGTCTCCGAAGCATTGCTCGTGTATCGTGGGACAACCGAGTAAGCAATGTTGTTGTTGGGAAACGGATTCTAGGTAAGGGTGGCAGATCAATAGATGAAGTAATGAAGCTTCATTAGTTGAGGTGGTTGGGACATGTGTTATGTATGCCCAACCACCGACTGCCTCGAAGAGCGATGATGCCTGGTGTAGGAGTAGGTTGTAAGAAAGCTCGGGGCGGCCAGACCAAAACATGGCAGAAATCCATGAAGTCACTGACAACTGGATTGAGTCATGTTGGGAGGTGTCAACTGCCTGGTTGGAGCCTGAGAGATGATAATAATCGATGGTTAGAGACTCTGAGTGACATGGCTCGAAACCGTTTGCAATGGCACAGGTGCATCCAGTCTCTGTGTTCTCTTAAATCCTAACATTCTGAATTCCTCATCACTTCTATCCTTCTGTTTCTAAATTTATCTCACACCCTAATCTTCTGCATTACTGCTAATACTCCTACTATTGCTACCACTATTAGATTTGAACTGACAGTTGCGTCTCTGTGCTGATGTGGTATGGCAACTTGAACTGATGTATGTACGTACCTAAGTGACATTACTGTTTAGTATTCCTTTCTCTAAACCTAGAAACAAACAATTATTTCAAATATGGTTTTCATTGATCCTTAGCGTAACAACAAAGAATAAAATAGTTTTGTTGACTGATTTGCTAATTTTGGGAGCCTCATTATTTTTGGTAAATTCGAAAGTCAAACCTCTGATATCAAGACAGTGGTTTTCTTAAGAGACCACTTGTCGATCTGTTTACCCAGAGATTTAACCCATAAAGCAGAAATGCCAACGTTTGAAGATAAGGTCCCATGGTAGTCCTTAAAGCACTTGTTCCGTCAGTCCTAGAGCCGATTAGGTTGCATTCAGCGTTTTGCAACTAATCTAGATGAATCCTCCGTACCCACCAACCCGGTTTAGGCGCCTGGCATTCACTTTTCGTTTCCTCAATTTTATGAACAGATATGCATATATATCCTAATTCTCAGGTTGATTATATTTGTCTATTAAAAATATCACTATCCAGAGAATGGTTTTTATCAAGTAATTGAATCTCTTCGAAACTAAACTCATCGGGTAGTTTGGTAAAGTATTTGAACGTGTTTCCACTTTTTTTCCAGGAAAGTTTCTGTCAGTTATAACTCAGTTCAATTAAAACATTTCACATCGGTATCATAAGTTGACGGTCTGTTTAATTTGGACTGATAATCATTTTATCATAATAATTAACATTATGCTAATCGATTTTAGTTCATGGTTAACAAATTAAATGAAGATTATTTTCTGAAAGAATTCGATGATTGGCTGACTACATCATCCCGCTTGCACACTGTAAATCCTGGAAGAGGTTTGTTGAAAATTTCAAACAATTTAAAGTTTGGCCAACGTGGTATAATTGCTTGTTGTGAAATAAAAGCCAATCAATGTTGTTATTCTGTACCATTAAATGATATACGCTTAATTCTTACACCGTTACGATGTGCTTATTTACTGAATCATTGTCCATGTTTTAAGCATTCCAAACATCAAGCTAATTTAAACTCTCTCGATACTCTTATAGCTTTTATTTACCATTGTAAATGTTCAACTTCAACTGAATGCATTCTAAAAACTATTTGGTCACCTTATCTATCAGTTCTACCAGAAATTTATTCAGATCCATTATCATGTATTTTATTCAATATTGAATATTTATTTGAAAGAATATTTAAAGTCAACTCTTCAAGCTATTTTCATTCAAATGATATAGACATTAAATTAAAATGTTTACTAACACGACTGTTAAGATCATGGTATTTTATAAAACCAATTTTTAATAATAACAATGATTCTACAGCAAATGTTTACTACAAACGTTATAGTATTCCACCTAAAGAATTTCTTTGGGCTTGGTGTACTGTGAATTCACGTTGTGTTTCATGTCCTTTTAAAGATTCATTATCACAGATTCAACATCTTTATAATGTATTGTTAGTTGGTTATAATTTGAAAGATCCAAAATTTTTTAATGATTATGAAGTTGTTTCATTGTTGATGAATAGTAAGAATAAGCATACAATCGCTTTGATACCATTTTTTGATTTTTTCAATCATGATCAAACTGTACCAACCTCTTTGTTATTGTCTAAAACAAGCTTATCATTGGAATTATATTTGGATAGTTCAGTATCAGTAAATGAACAGGTAGTCTTTCTTTCTCTATTTTTATCATTCAAACAATATTATCATTTACTTTTTACTCGCAGTGTCATATACTACATAATAATAAATATTTTAAGATATAACTTACTATAATCAGCCAACCATAAATATCGGTAAACTAGACATTGGGAGTAACTGCCTGGAGCCCCTCTGGGACTACTGCCGGTCCCAAGCGTGGAAAAGGAAGAGGGTTGGGCATTGTGTTTGGCCACCCCATCTCGTATAAAACTAACCCGCTAAAATGACGCTAACCAGAAAACATTATTCAAACCACTTTAACTCTGCCCTGGGAGTTAGGAGGTCTTCATTCAGAAGAGTTATGACATCTCATGATGAAAGTCGAGTTCCTTCGGAATTTACCTGGCCGATGCCCCTTCTGACAACCAGAGCAACCATTCTTTTGGTTTCATGGAATATTTGCACATTGTCGAAGACCGGAATAATATTCCAAGTTGCTGCAGAAATGGGAAGATACAACCTGGCGGTACTTGGAATCAGTGAAACACATTGGACATTAGAACAATAGGTGCATGTGCGTATCAAGTTCTGCGTTTTTGCTAACTGACTGGAATATCTTTATAATGATAATTAAAAATATCACTCCGAATTTGGTTTCATTATGTTGTTTTTCTGTTTCCTCTTCTGTTGATTATTTCTACCTTTAAATTTCCCTTAACTTCTAGGTGTTTATAAGTTATGGTGCACATGATAATTTAACTCTATTCACAGAATACGGTTTTATTCTTCCATTCAATGAGAAAAACACCAATGAAGTGATTTACCTAAGTTACCGTTTCATCGTGAACTTGTTCCTGCATTTAATGGATTCGTTTACAACACCTATTAATGGTATGAGTGGTAGTTGTAATTCTACCTCTATGTCTAATCTAATCGAATCGTTTACACACAATCGAATTATTGCAAATAAATTCGAGACATTACAACACAGCTACTCTACTACATTATGCCTTTATTTCCATCGAATTCTTGGAAAGTTAAATTTATGTGTACCGTATAATTCTGCCGACAATCATGATAGTGATGATGATGTTACATGGAGTTCAGTTTATTTATCACTGAATGGTAGTAATAATAATCGTGGTCCATCTTACCACTTAGGCCTAATATTATTTTTATTACACACATTGATAAGTAATATGAATAACAATAATGATAAAACTCTTGTTGATTGTCAATCACTTGATAATGTATATCATATTTCAGAAGACACTATTTATACAACGATTCAAACATTATTAAATCGAATTTATACTATTCTTTTGGATCAATTGAAATATGATCGGGAAAAAATTGTTCACTTAATGAATACTACCACCTATCAACATGATTCGTCAGCATTGTTATCATCTGTACACATGAAATCTACTTGTTTAATAGATAAGTTTTGTAAAGATTTTTTATATTATTTCGATCAACGTGAATGTTTTATACGAAGTTTAATGACTAGCTGATATTTTTGCATTATTATTATTATCATTATTATTATCATTATTATTATTATTATTATTATTATTATTATTATTATTATTATTATTATTATTATTATTATGTGTATTTGTGTGTATTGGTGGAGAGCAGATTAACTTGAAACAGTTTATTGAAACAAATCTAACTGAAACGTATACCATATTATGTATTGTTAGTGTTCGTTTATGAGCTTTATTATTACGTTCCATCCCTCTCTTCAATTTTTCCTACGTTTTCATTTGTATATATTTTGTGTTTGTGCTCACTTTTACCGGCACAGCAGTATTCATCCCTTGTCTTCCTTTAGAAATAAAGTCCCGAAATCTTATATTTTTTTCCTTTTCTGAACCGACCTTTTTCAAATACTATTGATACTATTACTTCTATGTCTTTTGTCTTGAGCATGTATGACAGATTTCACCGATGACATGTTCTACGTTGCATATGGCCACTGACTGTTGTATAAATAAATAAGATTCAGCCAAAATTTGCATATTATGATGACTAGTATTTTAAATTCACTTTTATCGCCATCTAATGACAGTTGTTGTTCATCAGCAAGATACACTTAAGTATCAAAAAAGGAAAAAAATACAACTGAATATGACTACTGTCAGTTTTTTTAAATCTTCCACACTGTGGGCAGCCGCGGCAACCGCATTCATACTCGTAACAGCACACGAGAAAAAAGCAGTGAAATCTTCTAGCAAGGTTGACCATAAGGCTAGAATGAAGCCGTGGATCTCAGTAGCATCCACCGGTCTGATGGATGCCCGAAAACTCATCCCACCTGGCTCTGAACATGATGAAGAACGAAGTCAACGTAGGCGCAGACTTATGAAAAGCCTACGTAACGATCGCGAACAGTGGTGGGTGGCGAAAGCAAAGGCGATCGAAAAGGCAGCGGCGATCGGCAACAGTAGACAACTTTTCCGACTTCTCAAGGAAACTGGTATTAGGAATCCTACTGTGAGTGAGACTATCTCGGAAAAGGATGGTCTTATTATCTATTCTCAATCCAGGAGATTGGACCGACGGGCAGAACACTTTAGGGAACAGTTCAACTGGTCTTCAGCCACACTTCGGTTGCCCACGATCACCAGTCATCCTGAATGGCAAGTCGACGTAATGACGTTGAGAAAGCGTTAGGAAATCTGAAAGGAGGACGAGCTGCAGGTCCTGATAGACTGACCCCTGAGATATTTAAGGATAGCTGTCCAGCGGCGGTCGGCAACGGTAGACAACTTTTCCGACTATCAAGCAAACTGGTATAAGGAATCCTAGTTTACCCCCTGGAAATGCAAAATGTCGCTTCAAGATTAGGCTGCATCGGCACCTGAACTAGTGATAGGGAGTAAAGTATTCGAACGTGTAGACCGCCTTACATTTCTGCGGAGTCTCATCAGTGCTGGTGACTGACGAAATCTCAGCTCGGATACAGAAGGATCGATTGGCTTTCGTCAACCTGCGTCACTTATGGCGCATGCGAGATATCCGTTTGCTAACCAAAGGACGAGTGTACTGTGCAGCAGCTCGCTCCGTCATACTGTACGGATGCGAAACATGGCAGTTGATTGTAGGTGTATCCACTCTTCATGTTTTATGAGATTCTAAGCTTCTGCATTACTCATACATATTGTTGGGATAGCCAATCGAGAAGCCACCCACACATAGTCGATTAATGAACTTATCGATTTAATGGTTAAATATTTCAAGGGCAGTCGATTGACGAACTATCTGATTAATGTTCATGATGAACTATTTGATTAATGTTCAAATATTTTAACGACCATATCGGTTATATATATAATTGTATAAAAACGCATGTTTTATTGTATATTTTTGATTCTGTTAATAAGTGTTCTCCAACATCTTCCGTCTTTTTATTTTTTTGAACGGTGGCAGTCTTACGTTCGGTATTGTCATTTGTACAGTGGTTTGGCGTTACTCAAGTAGAGAACATAAAATTGGCGACGGTGTGTACAACACACAATGTCAATTACCCTTGAACAGATAGAATCTTTACTCGAACGTCAACGAAAACGTTATGAACTTTTTTCCAGGAACGTATGTTGGAGATGTTAATTAAACAAATGAATCTGAATCACAGAGGTCTTACCGACGATTCATATAATCCGCATACAGACTCGATAGTTATTCCCATTCATGAATTTCATTTTGATGGCATAGGTGGTGTGAATTTCGAGTCTTGGTTCAAGAAGTATGAGGATTTGTTCAAGGTTGACCTCAACAAACTTGATGATGCCGCCAAAGACAGAATCCTCTTGAGAAAGTTTGGCACAATCGAACACGAACGTTATAGTGATTTCATCCTCCCAGAGAACCCAGGAGATTTCTCTTTTGACGCCACAATTGAAACGCTGTCGCAAATCTTCGCTGAACAGTCATCTCTCTCCAACCTCTTCCGTCTTCTTATTTGTTTGAACGATGGCAGTCTAACGTTCGGTGTTGTCATTTGTACAGTAGTTTGTCGTTACTCAAGTAGGGAACATAAAACATATACAGACAGCTGTTTATGGTTTACTGGTCTACTTTTGCATGAGTAAAAGTTTCAAGGATCTGCACTAAAATGAATATCAGCCAAAAAGCTGAGAAATACACAAGACTAGTTCTTCATCTTGTACCGATTTGTTAAGTGTCTTCATGTCAAAGCTAAACAACAAGCTGATTTCCGACAGTGGCAAACGACAGTCCAGATTATTATAAAAATCTGTCTTGACAAGTCGCGTGATCGTTCGTTATATTGATTGATAGATTTGCCTATTATTACCCTCTTTGAATAAGTAAAAGTTTCAAGGATCTGCACACAAGTAAATGTCACTTGATTGGAAGTAAATATCTCATTCACGTTCATCCACTGGTTCCAGGTTTCAGTGGCGGCCTAGATGAGATCAGTTCTTGATTTAAACTAAGATAAGATATTCGCACTTGATCATCCATGGTTATGTAGTGGATACAATTATAGCAATCTGATGGATTGATTGCACAGAATTAAAAACTCGTTATCTAAATATGGTGGAAGTTTTAAATATTCGAGTCAAAAACCTTAATTTTTTTATTCGAAAAAATAGTGCATTAACCTCAATCAGATAAGCTATACTGGATGAAGTCATTAGTTTCTACACATCATTTAGTCGTTTTCTTACATGGCTTCTCCACAAATTGAATCGAAACTATTCCATCAGTACTAAAGAAGAATTCAAAATATTTGATGTAGTGATAATTTCACAAAAGCAAACACTATAATGAATGGCGAGTTTACGGGACAACAATGTACATCGATTCCATTCGTTATTATAAACCACTATGACTCGAAACTGATACAATAAGGAAATGTCGTGCTATACGGGCTTAAACCTGACAACACGAATCCCTAAATGACGAATGATCTTTTACCTCTGATGGAGGTCGCTAGGAAAACAGGAAAAATCAATCGGTTATTTCTTTTTACTCTAAGGATTCCTAGTAATGTTCTAGACTTAATACATATATAAAGTCCCATAAAATCAAAGTCTCGCAGATATGAGTAGATACGACCAGAATCTACACTTGGAATAGTGGTGCCAGTGTCGAAACAATGCAAACTAGTTTATCAGTAATATGACGAACATTAAAACACAACTCAGAGTATTTAAAAGCAACTGCAACAGAAACAAATTTGATCAATTTTTTCTCACCAGCCCACAAAACATCAAAAGAGTATGAATGCTTTCGAAAGAATAAACTTGAACTACGCAGAGCTATAAGTGTTACACTTAAACAAAATTAACACCATTACTTTAAATGAATACCATTTTTTAGTTTAGTCAAGAAAATTAAATGAAATGTCATTTAACGTATACAGTTACATATATATAATTATATGTTGATGTATGTATAATTAATAGTAGACATCAAAATCACAATTATTCATCAGCAAGATACACTTAAGTATCAAAAAAGGAAACAAAAATACAACTGATAGTAGTCATATTCTTTGAGTGAATATAGTTAATTCTTTTATGATACACTTGCGAAAAATTTAATTTATGAATAAAGAATTTATTATTACACTTCAAGCAGTATTACAAAATAGTACATATGATGTGAATAAATAAATTTGCATTTATTACAACTTGAAACGTTGGAAAACGATATACAATTATTGATGTTGTGTGTCATTGTTTTACAATAAGTTAATTTGTATTGAAGTGAACAATAATTTAAAGTACTACTTTGTAGAACAATAGTACATAAAGTAGTTTATTTGAAAGTATACTAATAAATTCTGTGAACAAATTAAAATGCAGAAATTTTCTTTTCTATCATGTTTAGATAATCTAAATTTATTAGTTATAAAAATCTGGCGAAATGTGATCATTAGGTAGTTTAGGGATTACTTGTGAAACTTTGATCTAGGAATAGTGCATCACTAATATCAAAACCTTGTTAGATGATAATGAGAAGTGCGTTAAAATCCAAAATATCAGTAGTGAATTACTTAAACTACGAAAAAACTCCATCCATAACTGTAGCAAGCTCATAATAAATTAACAATTATTACACCGTATGATGTAAGCAGTAAACTAACAACGAAGGACAATACTAACACAATTCTCCTCACGATTATTCTCGATATGTTAATGTAATTATTTTACCTAAAATTTTGCATGAATCTACGATTATTTATATTAGGCTAAACAACTAATTATTTACAAGAGTACATACACAATTCCTGCTAACTTGTTTGATCCTAGATAAGATCTATACTCTATAAGTCTATACTCTCGATTTTTATGCATCTGCATCTGTTAATTTAGCTTACTGCCTAGAAACATTAAGAGCAACTTTCTTTTCAAGATGTGAAAACTTGGATGGCCTAACAAAAATTAACCATAAACAGGTATGTTTAGCGAAATCGCTGTTACATTTCTAACAGATTTCATCAATAGGTTATTTATTATTCAATTACAGCGAAACAACC